GGAAAATGAGATAAGAGCTTGAAGACAGTATGCTATGCAAACCGAATGGCCGTGAATCGGGGTCTCGAGCTTGCCTACGCTGGGCCTCGGGGTCGAGCTAATGTATCAGACTGGGGATAGTCGACGAAGAACTTAACAGTTCTAAGGATCTTGATGATGGCTCTTTATGATCAATGATGAGTAATAAATGAAGAACAGTCAGTAAAACACAATAAATGTTAGCAATAAAATCAAAGGAGCAACAGTAGAATATGTTTAAGTTGAGGAGTAGAGAATGTTCTTGTTCTTGTATTGAATATCATGTGTGCAAGAAATAGCAAGGGTCCCCTTTATATAGGAGGGGGAATCCCAACATGGTACATGTATAATTATTACAAAGAAACGTAGCTGGTACAACTACTTAATGATCTAGTACGGACCCGTACTATTCTTGTAGGCGTTGACAGCTTTGACCACGTGCCTAGGGAACTTCCCGCTTGTCCATGATAGCCACCGATTTGCGCTACCCCGAGATCGAGCATAGGGGACCCTCGGGGTCGAACCTTGAGCTGTGCCTCGAGCCTTCTAGAGACGAGCTATGAAGTGTCATAATGATCATAAAATCAGACTCTCCGATTTTAGCTGTATACAATCATGAGCCATTTTCAGCTGATCATGACTTCCTACAATAAGAAGATCATGAAGGCTCTGAACCTGCATCCTCTTCTCATTCACAAGAAGCTGGAACTTCACCAAAAGTGGATTCAATTCCAATTCCTGGTATGGATAATGTAACTACTGAGGAAGTGCAGGATGGACATACAACAAATGAATATAATACACATGGAGAAACAAGTACATCACCAAATTTACATGACATTGTAAGTGAGGAAGAGCATGATGCAATGTATCTGCCACAAGATGTAGACACATTACCAGAGATAGAACATGCTCTTACAAGTGAAGAACTAAGAAGGTCTAGCAGAAGTGTCAAAGAGCCCTTGTGGTTGAAGGACTATATGACACAAAAACAGGCAAATGGAACAACACTTTATCCTTTATCAGACTATTTAACATATAATAGGCTATCAACATCTTGCCAAAGATTTGTAGCAAAGATCTCTTCACTAACAGAACCTCAGAGTTTTGCAGAAGCATACAAAAACCAAAGATGGGTGGAAGCCACACAGTTGGAGATTAAAGCCTTAAAAGACAACAAGACTTGGAAGATAGTAGATTTTCCCAAAGGAAAGAACCCATTGGCTCAAAATGGGTGTACAAGATAAAATTCAAAGCAAATAGAGAAGTTGAAAGATTCAAAGCTAGATTAGTGGCCAAGGGGTACAGTCAAAAGGAAAGTCTGGATTATCATGAGATCTTCTCACCAGTTGCCAAAATGGTAACCGTGAGAGCAGTCATTGCAGTGGCAGCTTCAAAGGGGTGGAACATGTACCAAATAGATGTTCATAATGCATTTCTTCAAGGAGATCTGTATGAAGAGGTGTATATGGAGCTGCCTCAGGGCTTCAGGAGACAGGGGGAGACAAAAGTTTGCAAATTAGTGAAATCCTTGTATGGCTTGAAGCAGGCCTCAAGATAGTGGAACATCAAACCTACCAAGCTCTTCTGGATGCAGGCTATGTCAGAGTCTCTATGATTACTCATTATTCACAAAGAGAAAGGGAACAAAATTTGTAGCTGTATTGGTATATGTTGATGACTTACTCATCATAGGAAATAATGAGGAATTCATTTGGGAGACAAAGAATGTTTTAATCAGGAAGTTCAAAGTGAAAGATCTTGGAGAACTGAGGTATTAAGTCATGTGATCCAATCAAGGGATCTTGTTGAACCAGAGGAAATATACACTTCAACTGGTGTCTGATCTAGGTCTGGGAGCAACAAAGCCAGCAACTACTCCACTTGACATGAATAAAAAGTTTACCTCAGTTGAGTTTGATAGATATGTTGTAGTAGATGGAGATGAGATGTTGGCAGACATTTCAACCTACCTAAGGTTGATTAGAAGATTGATATACCTAACAATCACTAGGCCAGATATCATATTTGCTGTGCAGACATTAAGCCAATTCATGCAATCACCTAAGCAGTCCCACTGGGAAGCAGCAGTAAGGGTAGTGAAATACATCAAACATAATCCAGGAATGGGAATTCTGATGAGTAGCAGGCATGCAGACAATCTGGTTTGTTACTGTGATGCAGATTGAGCATCATGCCCTAACACTAGAAGATCAATGACTGGGTTTGTGGTAAAGTTTGGAGACTCATTGGTGTCTTGGAAGTCAAAGAAGCAACAAACAATTTCTAGGAGCTCAGTAGAAGCAGAATATAGAAGCTTAGTAGCAGCTATTGCAGAAATAATATGGTTACTGGGATTGTTTGCAGAGCTCAATGTACCTATCAAACAACCAGTGGATATAATGTGTGATAGCAAAGTTGCTTTACAAATTGCAGCTAATCCCATATTCCATGAGAAGACCAAGCATATTGAAAAAGATTGTCATTTTGTTAGGGATAAGATCAAAGAAGGGAGGATCAAGACACACCACATTGGAACTAATGATCAGCAGGCAGACCTATTAACTAAAGGACTGGGAAGAATACAACATGAATATCTACTGAGCAAGCTAGGAGTGCTCAATATCTTACACCCTCCAGCTTGAGGGGGGGGGGGGTGAGAATGAAAGAGTCAATTGTGTTCTGAGCAATGAGCCAGCTGTCAAATTAGTTAGGACAGCTGGCAGAGTTAGTGCTAGCAGAAGCTAGTTAATATTGTTAGAGTTAGTTGCCAATAATTAGTGGTCTTAGCTTAATTAAGTAGAAATTAGCTATGTCTATAAATACAGAATTGTATATGTTATTGTACATACAACAAAATACAGAGAAAAATTCCCTACTTCATTGATGAAGCTTCAAATTGTTAGTATGACGATATTTATAGGTGGTCCTAGGTTATTATTTCGAAAATTCTCTACAACATCAGGTGTAAAATCTGGAAAAGCTTACCGTACGAGCATCAGGTTCAAACTGAGGTGGTTCACGAGTCATATTTTTAATAAATGAAATTTTGGAGTCTAACTAATTTAGTAATATTATAAATAGAATTGTATTTAAGATGATGTATATAATCTGGAGAGATTTTAGAGTTTGTTAATTGGTGGCTAAGTTACTTTTACTCTATAAATAGAGGCGTTCTATTTTATTGTAATTTATCCTATATCAATAGGAATTCTCTCTACTTTTCTCGGCAATACTCTTCTTCTTCTTTTATTTTTGCATAATAAGTAAGAATTTAATTTATACATACTGACATTATAAAATTTTATTTATTTAATTAATATATTTTAAACATTTTAAATCATGTTATTCATTGCATGTTTTAAATTACCAAATGAGAATTACTATAAACAATTAACTATTGTTGTGTCAATGCACATAAGTTAGCAATAAAATTGCATTCGTTTTATTTCTTCTTCTTCAATTCATCAGGGATCGGTCTTGTTATGTATTCTTGAATATTGTATGCTAGTAATTTGAAGAACGAACAAGTATTTCTTAAAAAAGTTAGTTATTTAGATAATTATTTCACATTTAGTTCAATTTCACATATTAGTCATTTTCACAAACGAAATTCCTTTCAAAAAATTTGACATTTTAAAGTAAAAATAAGTTATAGTATATATTTTTGTTTTTCATGTCTTTCCTTACACTTTCAATTAATAAACATTAATTAAGTGAGATATTTAAGATAAATAAAAATAATTTGACAAAATATTCTTATAATTAACGATTTAAGGATGTACAAGAATTTTAACAGACGGATAATATAAATAGGAGCAGTATTTTAATAAAAAACTTTGCAGTTCAAACATTTATCCACCCACCCCTACTCTCTAATCTCTAGGGTAGGAAGTGGTACAGTGTGGTGGCCCTACCCACTTCATGATCTGTTTGTTCGGTTTAAGAACAAACATAGTAACATGGGCTGTGTTTCGTATGCTCAAGAATTACACTGTCTATTTTACTGCAATATATTTCTGCTACCAATAAGAAAAAGAATCTCTTTCTTACTCTCCCAGATTCATATGAAGATTACATGTTCTGCCAATTTCAGTGCCACCACTTATCTATATTTTTTGCTTCCTTCACTCATTATTACTTACACCCTCACAACTTTCCCCCCCACCAAAAAAAAAAAAAATCTGAATCATTTCAGTGGGATCCACATGAAAAAATATGATCAATTAATTTAATTTAGGCCCTCTAGTTAATTTAAGAAGTTCGAAATTACAGATATCAGTTACTCAAACTGTTTCATTCGGTTCAAGTGCAGCTTGCAAAACCAAGGTGGCTTTTGTTTTAAGAAAAATTGAGTTTACGAACTAAGTTCAATCTTTTTTCTAAAGATTAACTGTTTCTTTAGCTGCTTTTGTTTGTTTGAAGATTTTCAGGCTCACTTCAAATCGAGTATAGTTGTTAGAAAATCTGCAAAACTAATTTTAGTAATCTTAAAAATTACTCAATCCTTCCATTTTATGTGGCAAAATTTGAATTTGCACGAAATTTATAAAAGAAAGGAAGAATTTTGAAATTTATGATTTAAAATAAGTCATAAATATTTATATGGCTCTAATATAAAGTTTAAAACAAAATTATTTTCAAAATTAGAGAGCATCTATTTCTTTTAATGAACTAAAAAGAAAATAATATAACATAAAATGAGATAAAGAGAGTAAATGTATTTTTTTTTATTTTGCAAAATTAGTTCAAAGAAAGTAGTAATTTTTTAAAGCTCGAAAACTGTAGTTTGACAAACTCTAAAACAAACATTACTTCCATCATTTACGTGGATATCTTATTATAAGATGGTCGGCAATCACAATGAATTTTACAATAAAAAAGATTAGTACTAATTTTTATAAACAGGAGAAAAAAACTACTACTGGTGATTTTTATAAAGAGACAACCTAACGATGCCTCCCCGGTACTTGCTAGCTACATAGGAAATTGCACTGAATATAATGATTGATTTTTCTCATCACGCAAATACCTTAAAGTAAAGTACTCTCGTCTCGTACTTACATCTCTATCTTCTCTCTCTCAAATTTCTTGCCACTTCAACTAGTTCCCATAGGTATACTTACTACCTGCCCCTTAAGTCTTAACCCCCACCCCTTCCCTTAAATACCCACCTTTTCTACTATGTTTCTACATCACTTGCAAAAATCTTTAAAACCAGCTACTACTCATTTCTCTCTCTCTCTCTCTCTCTAGAACGAGATGTCCATAAACCATACTATTTCTTCTTCAGAACTTCCAGAAACAGTGTGGTGGACTAAACAACAACAATATATGATGATGGACAACTCCTCATCCAAGAAAACCTCATCCCCTTCTCAATTCTACCACCACCACCCACCCACCCCACCTGAAACTCAAACAACAACCATGTTTGGCTTCAACCTTAACAACATGAGCAATAACGAAGAGGACGAGGAACTCGAGGAACAAATCACCGAAGATAAAGACCAGAACATTGAACAACGCGAAGAAGAAATCCCAAAAGAACATTTGTTCGAGAAACCACTAACACCAAGTGATGTCGGAAAGCTTAACAGGCTTGTCATCCCCAAACAACACGCTGAGAAGTATTTTCCCCTCAGCGGAAATAACAATAATAATAATAATGAGTCGAGTACCGAAAAGGGGTTGTTACTGGGTTTTGAGGACGAGTCAGGAAAATCATGGCGATTTCGATATTCTTACTGGAACAGTAGCCAAAGTTATGTTTTGACTAAAGGGTGGAGTCGTTTCGTGAAGGAAAAAAGACTTGACGCCGGTGATATTGTTTTGTTTGAGCGCCACCGATTTGACGGTGACCGCTTATTTATTGGATGGAGGAGGAGGAATACCGCCGTCTCTGCCTCCGTGCAAGAGAGCAGTGCGGTGGTTGCTCCGCCAGGGATGGTGGGAGGAGGTGGGTGGGCCCAGGTGTACTATGCTGGGTCAGGTGGGCATCCTTATCCAGGGGCAGCTCTTCCATACCAACCTGACTGTCTTCATGCAGGTATCATTTTCTTCACACGCTATATATATGTAGTACAGTATATTTTGCATATATACAAACCCTATCTTCTTTTTTTGTTTTTTCTCATTACTAATTTAATATGTATATATTTATGTTATGTTTGTATATATAAGTAACTATCTTTAATTTCCCCTCTCTCTGTCGATTTGTGTGAAGATTAACTAGTACATTTTCCACAGACACGGGAGATAATTTTATATTTGATGTTATCATTTTTGTGATAAATGGCATGCTCAAATTATTGAGTGCCGTAGCCAAAAATGAAAAATGCAGCAACTTTGATATTTTTTTAATGTAACAAATTCAACTTAACGGTGAAGTTAGAGAGAATCTCTTTCTCTCTCTCCCTCTCTTAATTTTTTAATCTGGTGGCCATGTTGCAAAAGAGTTGTACATTTTGTCACATTGCAGAAAGTTTGTTTTGTAGGTTTCTAACAAAATTAAAGATGATGACATTACTAGTAGTATATTATAACAAGTGGCACTGGCTACTAGCTAGCTAGCTAGCTGCATATATAAACAAATACTGTTATTATGTCTTTTACTATGTGTTTAGAGATTCTTGAAAATGCCTACATTTTTTCCTTTTGATAAATATGTATAAGTAATGAACAATTGGGTCCAATATTGAATTTTAATGTTCTCACGCCCTGGAAAATTGAATTGAAGAAAGAGAGATACAAATGGTCCCGAACCTTGCATTTTATAAAGTAGCTAGTAGGTTGCAGGCATGTTATTCACATTAAAAAGATACAAAGAGTTGATAAAGAGCTTTCCGTAAAGTGTTTATTTATTTGGTGTGTGACATATAGGAAGAGGAGTATTGCAGAACCAAACAACAGCAAGTGTGAACAACACAAGAAGACAAGTGAGGTTGTTTGGGGTTAACTTGGAATGCGAGGCCGACGAGCCGTCGTGGTCGGAGCCACCATCAACCCCAGATCGCGGTGGCTCTTCCACATCTAGCCACCACCACCAGGGTCAGGGTCAGGGTCAAGCCAGCCAACACTATTACCAATACCAATTTCAGCACTCAAAGCCTCATGTTGCTGCCTCTTCCTATAATAATATCCATCACAATCACATGGTACACTCTTTATTTTATCAATGAAAGGTTTTTTTTTCCTAACTTTCCTTTTTCTTTTTAGACTAAGAATATGGTTAAAGATGTGACTAGTCCCCATTTCCCACTATGATTTCCCTGTTTCCTTTACTGAGACAGATAGATACAATCTCTACAGTTACCCTAGCTAGTTTATACTATTTAATTCTAAAAAATACTACTATCTGCCTAACAAGTGGATTAGTTAAGCCAGAAAAGGTCATAGTAAAGGTCAAGGAAAACAACAAAATCTTATGCTTTTAGTAATTAAGTAGTCTAGTTGAACAAGTAATGTTCTTTTCTGGAAGCAAAATCATATTTGCTATAGTTGAAAACAACATGTAAGCATTTTTGGAACTTGTGTTAACTACCCTAGTTTGCTTTGTTTTGCTCAACAAGTTAACCACTTTCTCAACTAAATTATCTCTGAAGACCCCAAAAAAAATCAGTAATGACATATGTAGACTGAATTGTTGGGTGGATAACAAAGATTTTATCCTCTGTTATTTCTTTTATATATGAAAACTATACTTAGAAATTTAGTGTATCGAATGGTTAAAAGAACACGTATGAATGTGAACTACCTTCAACAGTGTCATTTTCAAAAAGAATATTATGAGTAAGGAAAGTTATGTGTCAATGGGCTGAGTACTCTCAATGGGCTAGTATATATGCTGGGAAAAAGATGCTAGGGCCAAAAGTTTATAAAAAGAATCACTACGTCTTAAATAAAGAATAAGTTGAATTCAATATTTTCTGGCGATTTAGGGAGGGTGAAAATCTAAAAAGAAAAATTGAAAGTAAAAGTTTTTGGGGGTAAATATTTGTTTTCTTTCTTTACCTTTTTCATTCCTTTCCTAGTTTCCAAACAAAAGGTTGTGTTTCTTTTTCTTTTAACACCTGTTGAGTCGTGTGAAAGGAGAATACCTGGGAAGTCATTTTATAAAATGATGGCTAAGAGTGGCATGTCTTTCAATAAATATAGTATGTTATCATGTCAACCATTTCATGTGTCCTACTTGGTTTTCCTTTTTATTTTACTTTTTTAATTTTGGATGGGTTTGTATGTGGTCCAGACTCCTATAGTTGCAATTTAAAAAACTTGAAAGCTAGCAAACTACAATGAACCTAAAGATATTTATTTAGTTCTAATAGAAAAAAGGGTCAAAATGAATAGCCTTTGGGCTAGCCACCTTTAGTAATAACATAACATGTTATATAGTCAACTTTGCTAGTCACCACCAGAATCTACTACTACTTTACAACCAAACCAACCTCTTTGCCCCTCAAGAATATCTTGAAATAATACCAAACATATCAAAGACTTAAGCTACTTTGCTATGGACCATTTTAGCTTGGAAAGTGACAATACACTCAACTTTTATGTGATTGATTGAATCTCAACACTATTCCTTTTCCACCCCTCTTTCTAGGGTTGAAAACTTTGGGACCCTAACTTTCATACCTAGCTAGCAAAATTGAGTTTAAACACAAAATTATATCTGTTTTGGCAAAAATAAAAACCAAAATATCAAACCTCATCTGATTGAATTATTCTTGAAAAGTTCCCAAAGATATGCTTAGGCTAGTTGAATATAATCTCCAATCTTTTTTAAGTTTAGAAAGTGACAATTCGTTATTAATTCTTTTTTGTATTACTAATATTAGTCATCTCATTTTTGTCAATTTTCTCACTACAAAATAAGAGACTTGGTTTATTTTATGTATTTAATTTAGAATAAAGAGAGAAGATAGGGGTTCGGTTAGAGGTCCAGAGATTAGTTATTGTTTAGGATCAATATGAAACACATGTCTTGCATTTGATAAAGACAGCAAAGCTTGATTTATGTAGTATTCTTTTAATGATGCTTAGTAGAGTCAAGTAATGATGGTTCCGACCCTTTTAATATGAAACAAACTGAAGTACCTATTATTGATTCTTCAAATGATGAAAGTTTGCAATGTATAAAAAAATTGATGATAAACAATAAAAAAGTATTAATGACTGAGCTATCTCTATCACCAACAAATAACCAAATGGTCCACTGTGGGGATGCTCAGATGTATTAGAGTACTATATATAGTATTATTTTCATTCTTTTTATTTATTTCTACTTTTTGTATGCTCAAATTAAACCTCTATGGTGGGATTGCTAATAATTATACTGTATGGTTGTAACAGGATATGAATTTCTCAAGAGATGTCAACCAGATGAGATATCACCAGGGATAAGATCTGTGGATTTGACATCCAGGATTGACTATTACGGGCACTTGGAAAATTATTTAAAAATAGGAAAATGTTCTTGAAAAAAAATAGGAAAAGAAAATTCAGAAAAGGAAAAAATCCCAGATTTTCTGGCAACTTTCTTCCCCCCTAGAAAAGGTAGTGTATATCAAACTTTTAACACCTATTCCAAGTCCAAGGGTAATGGAAAGAACCATATGAAATATTGAAAAAGACTTCAGGGTGTTGGAGTAGGGAGAAGGTGGGGCCCCCAGATTCTAGCTGACGTCAGCAAAAAACCAAATGGAAGAATAATACATGGGTGGTTGCGCTTTCAAGAATCTATATAATTACATATATTATTTTGCTTTTTTTTTTTTTTTCCTCTAGTGTTTTTGGTTGGTACTGTGGTGATTCTACCCGAAGATTTTTCCAAGGGTTCATCATAATCATAACACTTGACCAAAAATGAAGGATAATAGGAGGAAGATGAAGAAAATTGGTTTTTTGCCAGTGGTAGTGGTTGGAGGACTTGATTTCTTTTTGATAAGATGGCTGTCTGTCACAGCCCCATTAGTCATTTAGAAAATGTTCTTTGCCATCTCTTGAAAGGCAACTAACAGTTTAACTGCTTTTTCTTTCACATTTTGGTGCTAATCCTATGGCAGAATTCTTTTTGTTTAACAGTAGTATGTACATTGTACTTTGGTGTTTTGGTGATTCATATGAAAATCTGATGAAAAGACTCATCAATCTTACCTATGTGTGAATTGTAAGTTTCATTTGTCACCAACATCAGTCAAACGTTAAAAATAGAGAAACTTTTCCTCTTTCTGTCAAACTTCACCTATGTTTCATCACTTAGTCCAAGAAGAGTGAATCTATTGCATTTACATGCTCTTTAGAACACAATGATGAAACACTCTATATCAAGTAGAGTAATAAATAGATTAGAGATCATTGAAAAACACAAGAAATCGGAAGGGAAGATGTTAATTTTTCAAGGGTCAATTTTTAGATCAAACCATCAGTCCATATTCTTATGCACTGGCACCATACCGTTAGAATGTTGGATAGTTAAGCCTCTTTTTTTCAAGTTTGAAATTTCAAATAATTTTTATGTATTTTAACTATATGATGGTTAGTAAATTTCTTAAGTATTTAACTATAGCCTAGCTAAGTGAATTCAGGACCCATAAATTTTGATATTTGTCACTAATATGCTATCTCATGATGCCGAGAAGGACAGGGGCAAAATCCTATGGTATTACTCATATCCCTTCATGTCACTCTTTCCTATTCAGAAAGTCAATTGGGTTGCGGAGATGATGGGTAACGCTGCAAATGGCACCAACAAGGGTTGTGATGGAGTGGTAAGTAATCATTCGTCCTTAATCAGAGGTTTCGACTTCGAGCCTTGGGTATGGAGTCGCCTTTGTTAGGAAGTGCCTTACCCCCCAATGTGGGACTTCCCCATGCATTTAATCGGGCCCCAATATCGATATCAGACACCGGGTGGGAAATCAAAAAAAATACTGGCAAGGTCCAGAGGAGTTGTTGCTAAACGACCAAACTGAGTTTTACAGCCTAATACCAAGTAAAACCAGGATGGCTAGTAATTATCACATCACTCCATTAATATTGGCATTTTTTCTTCTGAGTAACAAACCTTCCTATGTTTCACATTTTCTAAATTGACGCGTTACATGTGGTGTCTTTATCAAGACATATTGCAATTGTTAAGGGGCACACACAATAGGAAAAGTAGTACTCAAGTAAGCAATTATTATTAGTACAAATAAGCAGCAAGATTGTGTTATTTGAAAAACCGTGAAGGCCATCTAAGTGTAACAGCACAGCCCGCTAGTAATTAATATTGTTAACTCTGTGCCTAGGTCCTCACGGATTTAAAACGCATTATTAGAGTTTAAGGTTTGTTAACTTATATACTCAATATTCCTTTTATGTTTTGCCGATGTGAGACTCCGTATGAAGTTTAAGGTGTATGCCATAGGAACAAATTAAGGCACCGCAAATGAAACATGAATACAGCTTTGGAAACACGTCAATCACTTTCCATATAGTGCAGGCTGCAGGGGGGTTTTCATTTTGGTCCAAAACACGATTTACAAATGAATTGGTAGGAACTTGACACTATGACTAGTTGAATAAATCAATCAAAAAGATGAAAAGAAAGAGAAGCATTACTTTTTGTCAAAACAGCCGACCATTAATAATCAAGAAATAAAGGATACCCCCATTGACTTTCACTAAGGACTCTCGCTATATTTTAGTGCTCCTGCAAGTGGGAGGGTCACCAGATATACATGTGTATATATATTAGAGGTGGTGGCTTATCACAAGATTGAAGGGACTCCTCTTGCAACAAGTAGTCAATCATCAAAAACCAACTACAGTAATAAATACTACATCTAATAACAGAGGGGACACTTTCTTCATTTTTTTCTATAGAATTTTCTTATATTTTTGCCTGCAAATGAAACATATATATATATATATATTGTCTTCAAACGTGCAATTATAATTGAGGTTAGCGGGCATGAGAATTTATAAGACCAATATCACAGTACATGCATTAAAGAAACACAGAATAATTCCTGATTCTGTCTTATGTAGGATCCACGTCGGTATATGATGATACAACTACAATTTATTACTACAATGTGCTGAAATGAAGACCCATGTGCTTTGACAGATTTCAATCAAGCGCCCAATGTACCAACAATTACCTAATAAAAACACCCACAAAATGGGTCCAGAATTACAAGAAATTTACTAGCTTTAATTATCAGAGGAGACTCTAGGCAAGAGATTGAAAGGCTAAATCATTATCTGCTGCACATAGTATTTGAAATAAAGTACTTGCACAATATTTGGGTGGAAGTCATTTTCCATTATCTTTCGTCTAGTCCTAGCTCACCTGACCTGTTTTGGCCTAGTCCTGTCTCCTCCATCCAAACTTGAGATTTAACTACAAACCACGAATTACTCCAATAAAGCAACTAATCTCCATTATATTCCAGCATGCATTTGGTGAGGAATTAGCACATTAATTAGATATCAAGTAATCTTCACAGTTATAAACAAGACCATAAAGCTAGTAAATTTCTTACGAGATTAGACAATGCATCTAGTAAATTTCTTGCTATCTTTATTTGATGTAGGCATCAGTTGATATCAAGTAATGCATTAATAGGACATTGAGACTAGACAGTGCATCTATATATGAAACTCTAGGTATGAAACAAGCAAAAATCATTATCATCCAAACTTCTAAAGAATACTATTTAAGACTGGGAACTCACTACAAGGCAGATTGGAAGAAACAGATACTCACAATATGGTTATCTTGTATCCAGGATTCATTTAATCTTGCAGTGTTTTTTTAATACAACTGTGGCAACAACATAACCAAACTATTTAAGACTGGGAACTCACTCACCGAAAAGCTACGTGATTACAAGGAAAAACAACCAAAAGGTCATGTATGTTCAATTGCCCGTCCTCCAGGTTACCCCAGCTTTCAGATTTAAGTCCTCACCTTTGTAATTTGGACTGTTTTAATGATAGGGTCACGCCACCTTACAGTGTAATAACCCCCCCTCCCCCCCCCCCTAAAAAAAAAGAGTCCTCACCTCTCCCTTTTTTTTTGGTAATTAACTTTTTGTATTAACCACCAATATAACATTTACAAAACTGAGTCGACCATCTCAGTCTGCTCTACAAGATAAAAGAAAGTATCCAAAAAAATAATCTACATTCTTTGCCTCGCTATACACATTCTAGTCTCTTCATGTTAATGACTAATATTTACACTTGCTGAGCAACACTCGCGTATAGCCTTCAGCTCTAAAGTTGCACATGCAAGCCACTCTCCTAGCTAGGACCTCCCATGCAGTAGTTTGCTTCTCAAAGATCCGTAAATTTCTCTCAATCCATAGTACATGAGTATACTCTGCATAGATTAGCTTAGGTACTCTTGCCATCTAAGATTTGCCCTTAGTTGTCATAACTATCTATTGATGATTTGCTGCCCATGAGTCTATAGGAGGATATTGAATTTGTAGCCGGTGCATGAGCCTGTGCCATTGTCACGACCTATTTTTCTAAACAAGCCGGGACCGATACCCGATCACTAAACATGACCGAGCGAACCATCTGCGCTTATCAAATCTATTATAACTTCAAACTTTATATGCAACAAGGCAATACTTTAACCAAATACTTTTAATTAATTCAAATATCTAAAATAAACCAACTCCAAAACTTTATTCGTAGTAACCACTGAAATACTGCTAAGTTATTATCAAAAACGTCTAAATCTTAACCCAACGACTATGTCTATGAAGCCTCTACTGATAAACTGACGCACTGCTCAAGACATGAGATTTTTTAGCGAGTTCTCTAAGTAAACAAAGAAATAGCTAAGTAAAGATGACTCGAAGGAATACTTCACGAACAAAAGCGGAGCTCACCAATAGCACTGGAAGTGAGGGAAGTCCTAACCCGTAGTCTGCTCGCCTGCAAAACCGGTTCCTACATTGTACCGCAGACCAATGTAGGGTCCCAAAAGAGAACGTCAGTACCATCCATTGTACTCAGTGAGTCTCAACGACAGGAGACGAACTTTAATATATATATGTATTATGAGCAAAGATTCTAAATGCATGTAAAACATAAAGCTTATAAGAACAATTCTAAAATAATTGCATAATAGCTGTTTATGAATATTTTTAAAAAAATTCTTTTTTTTCTTTCTTATAAAAAAATACTTCAATTTATGCTTCGGGAGTTCCAATTATCCTAACTTAATTCTGTCTCAGTCACCGTGTGATCGGCACGGGTTCAATCCCAACCTGATCGAATAGGCCCAATCCACGAGGTGCCATTCGCTTCATGGTTCTCAGCGCTCATGTACCATACTTTAGCCTGGCTAAGTAAATTCTCAGCAACCAGACCCTCGTCTCGTGTGCTCCCTACTTTAGCACAAGTAGTTTTAGGAAGTCAACGCCTTGGTCAGGACCCTCGGCCTGGACGATGACCCCTTCTCAGAATAGAGGATACTCCCAAAAAATCTTTTCTTTTTACAACTTCTCTTGTGACTTTTCATTTATAAATCTTGTTTGGAAAGTGATCTATCAATATTCATGTCAATATTCTTGAGTGCATACATAGCATAAGCACGAAATAAAATTACTCAAAATATTTTTTAAAAGTTCTATCTAACTCTTGAAACTTTAACATGTAAGATCGTGTAATAAAGCATAAAATATAAAAATAGACGCTTATACTTCTCGAATAAAATACATAAGCTTTAGCTAGAATATACTTAGTCAACATATACTCACTCGTTCCAATTAAGCATATGTTGGCTCTTTAAAGCATTTTATCAAACACTTTATGGGCATATTTTTGTGTGTAGAACCACTTTAGTAAAGGGTTGTATCCTCTCACCTCAAAACTTCTTGAGCCAATATGTAGGCCCCAGTCCAATTTATACCCGTCAAATAATTGATTCTATAACAACCAGTTGTCGCGCCCCCTTTTTCCCTCTTTACATCGGATAATTGGGTTTATGACATTTTGAGTATCGGACAACTCATTCCTTTTGGGAATTGAGTTTTGCATTTGAAGAGTCGCCACCTAACGATTTAAGGTGCATTAGGATACCTATAGGGTTCATTTCTAAGTTTGTTTGATAACCAGAGATAGGGTAAGGGCTTGAGATTATCCTAAGGGGAAGGTGTTAGTCACCCCTCAGGATCCACTAGTGTGGTTCCTAGCCAGACAGTTTTTCTGAATTTGT